ACCAAAGATAGTCAAGTGTTATTTTGCACAAGTTAAATTCACATGGTTCACATTAGTTTGCTCCTACTCTTTTTAGATCTATAGCCACATGAAAATAAGGTTCAGGAAAACATATTTGTGTTGGAAAAACTTGACCATATAAGGCTCCACTACTTGCAACAAAGTGGTGACTCAACTCATTGATACTATTATAGATTTATTCTTAATTCTCTGATAACCTAAATGTTCTTATACATATATTGTCTTACTGAACTAAACATTACACCTGTTTATGATAGTTTGGCCCCCAATTTCTAGAAACTACATGGGAATTTTGGAGCGACCAGTTATAAGTTAACACTTTTTTGTTCACATTTGTTGTAATAGCTGTAGTACAGTATTGTATTAACATTAGACCTTCCTCTCATTGCGAAGTAAATGTGACTATAGTTTCATCTTGTCAAGTCAGAAACACATTTTACTATTGTTATTTGTATCTCAAGTTTGTAACTTAAACTCTGTTGCAATAAAGTTTTAAGCATCACTTGAGACTGACTTTCACTTTATTCTCATTCAAACTTCATTTGTACTTGCACAAACATTGTATTTCTCTCATAACTCAGTTTTGATCATTTGCTTGCACTGCCAGTCCTGAAAATGAAGCAAACATTTGCAAGCAGTATCAAATCTTAAAATTGAGATGTTCAATTAATTTTTAAAAAGGCATACATGGACACATTATTTGACAACATATAGCTGACATCAACTTAACAACCATGCTGTCTCCTACTGTAAGAAACATTATCGCAAACCCCTTTAATATCAATCTGCAAAATGGATGTGTTTGAACCAATAAGTGTACATGGTTTTTGTTCAAAGTGTTGACTACACTGCTGTAGAAAATTATTTTAACAGAATTAAATATCAAACATGGCAAAGAATCGATGCTTACCGACAAAAAAGTTGCTATTGTGGACTGATAGTATTAACTTACCATATTTAAGCTTTTAGTTCTGTCAAAATTAGTTGACTAAATCTATAGCTGCCTCCAATCAAAACCCCAATCTTATTCTCAGATATAAACAGATGGCAGACAGCCACAGATGTCTCTGACAGAGTTTATAACAAATGATAAACCACTGACTCAGTTATCATGTAACCAGAACTTTATCAACTAACATGTTTAGTTAACAAATTACTGGACCAGTTTGACTCTATTCTTTTGTGACCTTGAACCTTGGGTTCTTGTTGACCTTCTTGTCGAAGGCTGCCAACAATTTTTCCTCAGTTCTTGTCTTGCCATCCCCTCCCTGAGCATGGAACTCAGCAAGCACCTATGTGGGAGTGTACACAGAAAGGGTTAACATATGTACTGGATGGGGTAAACAGAGTTATGGGCCTAGTCATTTGCTGTATGTATTTTATTCAAACTATATGTAAAGAACAGAGGGAACTGCAGAACCTTTGTTGCTGCCCTATTGGCGTTAAGGGCCGTAAGTTAATAAGTACCTCTATACAAATTATACCAAGTATAATACCTTTTTCCTCAGTTTCTTGACAGACAGCTCGTGGTCATCTGCCTTGAGAAGTACTGTACTAATCACTGATTCCCATGGGAATTTAGCTGGAAAGGGCAAATGCAGTACATCAGTATCATAATATCAAACATGCTATTGGCACATTTCCTATAGCAAGAGTTTCATCTTCCATACAAGTTATGTCTGTGTCTGTTTCCCAACAAATATTTTAAACAGTTATCATGTGTACTAGTTTCATTATTAAATTGAATGGGTATGCAGCACTAGTGCTAAGGCAATATGAGCTGACCTATACCTGGTTTGGACGGTTGCTCCACATCCTCTTCTGGTTGTTCCAACTTTTTCTTTTTCTTCTTTGGTTGCTCTCCACTGTTGTCTATATCTAATTTGAAAACATATATGGTAATGTACATCTTACTGATACTTCCTGTCAACACTAGCAGTAGCATTATAACAATGAAAACAAACAATAACTTTGACAACTAAATAAGATTTTGAAAAGACAACCACATATAGCATACATAAAATCTATGTAAAGCTCACTACTGTCTTCTGCAATTTTCTCTTTGCCTGTATCTTCTTCAAGGTCTTGGTGCTTTCTTTTCTTCTTCTTGGCTTTTTGAGGACTGAGGGCATCATCATTTTCCATCTTTTCGTCCTCCTTTTTTCTCTCTATTGAACCATTTTCCAGTACATTTTCTTCTGTCTTCTTGCTCTTTTTCTGCTTCTTTTGCTTTGGAACTGTCTCAGCATCACCATTTTTCTTAGACCTGTCTTTTTTCTCTTTCTTGTTGGCCTTCAGTCTCCTTTCTTCCTTCCTCTGACGTTTACTGATCTTACCACTGTCTTCCTTGGAATCACTGTCCAAGTTTTTCTCTTCTGTCAACTGATCTTTAATAACTTCTTCTTTGTCCTTTTGTTCTGATTCCTGAAAAAGGACATGAACATCAAACAGTTTAGTTTTTCAAGTGACCACACTAACAAACCATCTACAGCAGACAGTCTAAATAGCTTTTCTACTGCAAGATTACACAAAAATTTATATAACATTTTGCCATAATATTCTCCGTTAGTGACTGCAACTTTGAAAAGTTGGAAATCAAGTTAACACACTGGTGAATCAGTGATACTAACAAACTGAGTAACAACACACACAGACCGACTTCTGTTTTTTCTGTTGTTCCTTCTGTTGTTGTTGCTGTGCAGCAGAAAACACCTCCCACACCTGGGTCACTAGATGGTTGTTGTGGATCCGTAAACTGTTCTTCACAAAGTTCTGTGACAGGGAAAAAAACTTTAAATTATTATCTTAACAATTTGTAATTTTTCTGGGTTTGAATCTCTAGCAGGCCCCAATTTTATGCCCTCGGGAAAGGCACTTGACACTGTTTACTCACATGATTCTGTCCCTCTCAGATTGGATGGAATTCGAAAGACGGAGGTCCCATGCTTGAGTAAAACTGCACCTTGAGCACCACACATATTGGAAAGAGTAGAGATCCATCCCAGCGTGAGTGGATCAAACCTTACAGTCAGGGCTTACACAGCTATACAGTGGAGTAGCCTCACCCAACACATACCTCAAACTTGGCCTTCTTCCTGGGAATGTTGGAATACTGTGAAAGTCTCTCCCACAGATTTCTCACTTGTGGAGAAGCATTGGCATCATTCATGGACTTCTGCACTTGCTACAGAAACAGAACAGGCATTGCATGCATTAAGCCAACTCTTTCATACACACAGTATTAAAGTGTCAACTGTCAACAAAGGAACAAGAGCAAAAAAAGAAATAACATTTTACATTTAAAAGTCATCAAACATATATTGTATGTTGGGTTTTTAGTACTTTTTACAAGTACAAAATAAGATTTGACCTACTTTTAGCCAGGCATCCTGCTTGGCCTCCCCCTTGGTCATCCTGTGTCCTGTGATGCCCTTCCCTCCATACTTGTCTTCTTCACTGATACACTGTGTGTGGGTCTTGTAGTCATCTCCCCTGTAGTATGGGTCACAAATGTAGGATCATGCTGAAGTACATTGTGAATGCACATGTGATCACTTATAATCAACACTTAATTTAATGATGTATAACTATAAGAGAAAGATGAGGAGTGATAATGATTTGTCATCTAATGTCCAAAAAGTCAATATCACTTCTTGATGATTTCTTAATCTCTTATCAAATTAATTGCGGATACTGTAGATAGTTGGTAGATATAACATTACTTTTTCATTACAGTACACTTTTATTACTCACATGGAAGCAGCTGAATGGAAGAGTAGTAGAAAAGAAATAGAAAAGCAGTGTCAATGCTTAGGCGGAAACTTACCAGAAGTCCTTGCCACAGTCCAGACATGACAGCATGTCACAGCTGCGGCAGGCGGTGAGGTAGTGTTTCTCTACCTGGTTCTTCTTCACAGTCTGCCCACAGGCATTACAGTTGAAGAACACCATGGTGGAACAGGAGTCAGCAGCTTTCTCTGCTATGAATATAAATATAGGATGCAATCATTACATTGTACATTGTACATAGGATATGATTACTATTTGAGCTTATTTATCTTTCACCTGCAGCTGGCTACTTGTACATAAATTTTCAGTCCTCTCTGCTAGTGCTAGTTGGGTGCCTCACATTATGTGTTAACACTGTTATCTATTTTAGGCTCTAAGCACATCCATGGAGGCATAAGTTGTAACTCCGTAACACATCTATTCATATATTTAGTACTATTGCATGTACCAGTATAAGTAGTATTAGGACGAGCTAGGAGGTTTAAAATCAATTGATTTTAACCTCCTTGGGCCAACTATGTGCAACGTGGACATTATAACTGCTACACGTGTTACAGTTGTTGTTGGTCGGTTGCCTTTTATATATGCCTTTTTATAATAGTATTAGCTGGCTTTTGTATCGTCGGTTCCCGATCTTGCGCTCTAGTTTCTTTATTTATCTATCGATACTCGCACGTGGAAGTGCTTTTATGTGGTTTCTACCCATCGATGCTCACGTGGGTGCACGCTCGAGCTCCCTCTAACGTTACCTGCCCCCCTCCCCATCCTCTGACAGCGTCGCGACTGTATAGTCAACTATTGGGGAATAAAAAAAGCACAAAAAGTGATCATATCGTGTCCTAGCTTACAACGCAACAAACTTACCCCAGTTGTTCCTGACTGAATTAAGTTTTGGCCACAGAGAAACTGGCGAGGTCGCTTTCCGAACTTCTGAACTCCTTACGCCACCATCTTGGAACTCAACACTAAAAGAGAGGGGTGTCCCGCGATAGGCATTTGGTAGGTTTGGTGATTTATTAACGAATCATGATCAAATTGAAATCCATCGCAGGCGAATATTCACAAACTAGACTCTAGAAAAGATTTTGCAGGTTAAATTTGACCATATTTTTGAGATCACGACTTCTGAAAAAAAATTAATTCCCCCTTCTATAGAAATATTAATCAAGGTAACCCAATTTGTTCACATTGTAAGGAAGCTACGGCCACGGCCATTGTGGGGGTGTAGCTCAGTGGTAGAGCGCTTGCTTCGCATGTAAGAGGCCCCGGGTTCGAATCCCGGCACCTCCAGTAACTTTTACAAACTATGCGTGCCCTTGTCAAGACAGGGTGATTTTGGCCAACATCAAGTTGTACGTGCGATCATGAATATTATAACGCACTACGTTTATAATACTGTTCAGTTCTAGAACATGGTTCGCACTTTATCAAAGAAATGCATATGATCGCGGCTGTGCATTGGCAGCAGGACAGAAAGCGCAAAGTATATATGATAGTAAAAGTATATATGATAGTATACATACAGCAGCAGGACAGGAAGCGCATTGTAGTATGATTATTATACATACAGCAGGGGTTTAGTTTAGTACGGTAAGGCCAAACTGAAACCAAATAACAAGCCTTAATTCCGATCAAGGCTTCAAACGTGTCCTGTTCTTAAAGTAAACTTAAAAGAAATGTTTAATGACTCTTTATCTACTGTTCCCTAGCCAAGCACCAAGATAACTTCTCCACTGCAATTTTTGAACGCAACAATTGGCTACCCTTCGAACTTTCATCACTTTATGACGTCACATACCATCTCCACAAGCTTTGCTTCGAACAACAAACTTACAAAGTTCCAGACAGCGTTCCACTACCTGGACACAGCGACAGACGTGCAACATGTGGCAAACACTACTCTCTGTGTTTACCTGCTGCCTGAATGCGAAGGTGAATAAAGTGTCACCAGGCGAGGAGAAGACTGGGGACGGACTGGCGGGTAAGACCATGGTCCGAGAGACCTTTACTTGAAACATCTGAGTACGGGATGGTATCGGCTGACGGTGTAAGGCCATAAAGGAGACTGGCGGATCGCGGAATTAGTCCTGCGGGACTACCGTATGTGCCATGCAATAGAGTCAGTTTCGCACATGTACCTGTAAATTCATTCTTCAGTGCTACTATTCTGGGGAGTAGTATCGTATACCTTTTTGTCGGCGATGGACGACACAATTAAAGCTGCTAATCTGCATGTTCACAATCACGTACATTGAAACGTCACTAGCAGTGTAGCACTCATGTTGTCGTCGGTGACACACTGATTTCATCCGTTCCCACGGACTGAACGGATAGAATGTGCTTCAGGATTTCAACTTTATTTCAGAACCACCAGTGATTCCTATAACCAGTCCACCGGTCCCCGTGATGTCCCAGCCGCGGCCGGACAGGTCCTCAGCCGATATCCTTGCCGAGCTACGCGATGAGGGTGTGTTACCCGGCCTGAAACGGCGTGACAATGCCGTCGCCTTCCAGGTGCCAACCGAGAACCACGGTACTCCCCCGCGCCACCAGGTGAGGCTGAAGAAAATGGAGAAGCGGATGGAGGAACGGCGTGAGAAGGTGAAGAAAATCTGCCCTGAGTCTCGTGGCGACCTGAAGAGGCAGCTGAATGACGCGGAGGTTAGGAGACAGGTAAGGAAGCTGTTCGGCTTCACTTCAGTCTCTGTAAATGGCACGGCTACACATGGCGCGTGTTTTAAAGGTTAGATGAAAACAACAAAGTCTCATAGGGTGACGGAAGGAATAATTGGGATGAACCAAAAAGAAGGGATGCTAATCGTATTTTGTACTTTCAGGACCTCTTGGTCAAGAAGACCGACAAGATCTCAAAGAAGTCTGCAGAGAAAGCAGCTAGGATCAAGGCCAGGAAGGAGGCGAGCAAGAAAAACGGCACCGCGTTTGTGATCACCTCCACAAGCGACTCCGCTGTCATCGCTACACGAGAATCCCAGAAGACCAAACAGCTTGAGAAGCGCCTGGAGGCCAGACGAGCGCGACACGCAAAGAAGGCAACAGTGGACGCGCTGGAGACGCGCCAGAACCTCGCCGCTGAACGTCGCAAGGTATGTTATCTACTCACTATGATAATCGTTATTTTGGCACATGCACCATATACATTTTTTGGACCTTGTTTACCTAGTTACCTAATACTTCAACTGCTAACTTATTTTTCTTACCTCCCAGGTAATTAAATGTCATTGTCTCCATCATACTGACTGACTGTAATTTCCCTCTCCTACACAAACCAGGATCACGTGGTGGCCACCATCTCTAAGGCCAAGAAGCTCGCCCGTCCACACAAGTTCCCCGCCCAAGAGGAGGCAGCCTGTGCTGGCAACTAAGACGTCTAAGGTGTCCGACAAGAGAGGACGAAGGAACCCGAAAACATTTCCTCTAGAAAATGTTGAAATCTTGCCAATATTTTGGTGTTGATGACTCCTGTGAGTCAGTGCACCGCACAAAATAACAGTTCTTCTTTTTTTGAAACTTTAAAAAAAATTAGAAAAAAAATTGACAGAGTTTACAGAGAATACTTCTTCCAAAAAATGTTGAAATCTTGGCAATATCTTAGTGTTGGTGACTCTTGTGAGTCAGTGCACTGCACAAAAGAACAGTTGTTCTTTTTTTGAAACTTTAAAAAATCAGAAAAAAACTTTGCAGAGTTTACAGAGAACTCTTCTTCCAAAATATGTTGAAATCTTGCCAATATTTTGGTGTTGGTGACTCCTGTGAGTCAGTGCACCGCACAAAATAACAGTTCTTGTTCTTTTTTTGAAACTTAAAAAAAATCAGAAAAAAATTTTCAGAGTTTACAGAAAACTCTTCTTCCAAAATATGTTGAAATCTTACCAATATTTTGGTGTTGGTGACTCCTGTGAGTCAGTGAACTGTTTTTTTTACAGTGCCTGTTGGCAATACTTACCACTTTCTTGACAGTGCCCTGTTGGCGTTACCTACCACCAGTTGTTGTATAATTGTTAAATAAAGTTGATTTTCCCTGTTTTTCAGTTCTCATGTGTGATGATTTTTCAACTCCTACCTCCTTCATCAGGTTTGTCATGTTTGTAAATATTTTCGGGGGGGGGTACTTCCCTGCCTAAATTGATATGTCACACATTATCCCAAACAATCACTTTTAATGATGCCACACAACTTCAATAGTTTATCCCAAACTAAGATAATATAAAGGTGTTAACATATAAGTTAGATAACATATACTTATAAAAGAACAAATCTGCAGAAAGCTCAACCTCAAAGTTTTTGGGGTACCTTCCGTGTTTACACGGCAGACACAAACCTTTACATAAGGTACAAAATAATTTTCAGAAAATATATTCTTGCGAATCTTATTTGGTACATGTACAGACTGTACATCTATTTCCTAAACAATGTCTATAGAGTTCTGCATACAAAGTATCTGAAACAGCCATATACAATGTATATACATCTGGGTTTACACCACTATTTCAACCAGTGACACCTTGCATTAGCAGCCATCTATGCAGGCACTGAAGATCACAAGTATTAGCTTCATCAATGTTTCTTAAAATCTACAGTTCCATGATATGATAGCACATTACAGATTAAGGCGTGTATGTGGTCCACACACACTTGACAGCCCAAATAAAAAGACATGCACAAATTCACAATACATGCACATATAATAAGCTTTACACTAAAAAACAGTGCACAGCACAGTGCATCATCATTTACTTTAAAGGTTCGAATCCCGGCACCTCCAGTAACTTTTACAAAGTATGCATGCCCTTGTCTTGTCAAGACAGGGTGATTTTGGCCCGTATGAAGTTGAGTAATTGACGTACGATCATGAATATCAAAACGCACTACGCTACTGATAATTGTTATTCTAGAACATGTATTCAGTGGTCCGTGGAGCCACCTTATCAAAGAAATGCATATGATCGCGGCTGTGCATTGCAGAAGGACAGAGAGCGCAAAGTATATGATAGTATACAGACAGTAGCAGGACAGAAAGTACATAGTTTATGATAGTATACATGCAGCGGATGTTTAGTTTAGTACGGTAAGGCTTAAGAGCCAAACTGAAACCAAAGTAAAATGTCCTATTACCTCTGGTCTAGATTGCGAAGATATCTCCGCTAACTACGATATACTAATAAAAAGAATATTTTTCCATCTACGCTTCAAACATGTCCTGTTCTTAAAGTAAACTTAAAAGAAATGTTTAATGACTCTTTATCTACTGTTCCTTAGCCAAGCATCAAGATAACTTCTCCACTGCAATTTTTGAATGCAACAATTGGCTACCCTTCGAACTTTCATCACTTTATGACGTCACATACCATCTCCAAGCTTTGCTTCGAACAACAAACTTACAAAGTTCCAGACAGCGTTCCACTACGTGGACACAGCGACAGACGTGCAACATGTGGCAAACACTACTCTCTGTGTTTACCTGCTGCCTGAATGGGAAGGTGAATAAAGTGTCACCAGGCGAGGAGAAGACTGGGGACGGACTGGCGGGTAAGACCATGGTCCGAGAGACCTTTACTCCGGCTTGAAACATCTGAGTACGGGATGGTATCGGCTGACGGTGTAAGGCCATAAAGGAGACTGGCGCCGGAATGAGTCCTGCGGGACTACCGTATGTGCCATGCAATAGAGTCAGTTTCGCACATGTACCTGTAAATTTATTCTTCAGTGCTACTCTTCTGGGGAGTAGTATCGTATACCTTTTTGTCGGCGATGGACGACACAATTAAAGCTGCTAATCTGCATGTTCACAATCACGTACATTGAAACGTCACTAGCAGTGTAGCACTCATGTTGTCGTCGGTGACACACTGATTTCATCCGTTCCCACGGACTGAACGGATAAAATGTGCTTCAGTCGGATTTCAACTTTATTTCAGAACCACCAGTGATTCCTATAACCAGTCCCCCGGTCCTCGTGATGTCCCAGCCGCGGCCGGACAGGTCCTCAGCCGATATCCTGGCCGAGCTACGCGATGAGGGTGTGTTACCCGGCCTGAAACGGCGTGACAATGCCGTCGCCTTCCAGGTGCCGACCGAGAACCCTGGTACTCCCCCGCGCCACCAGGTGAGGCTGAAGAAAATGGAGAAGCGGATGGAGGAACGGCGTGAGAAGGTGAAGAAAATCTGCCCTGAGTCTCGTGGCGACCTGAAGAGGCAGCTGAATGACGCGGAGGTTAGGAGACAGGTAAGGAAGCTGTTCGGCTTCACTTCAGACTCGGCAAATGGCATGGCTAGACATGGCGCGTGTTTTAAACGTCAGATGAAAACAACAAAGTCTCATAGGGTGACGGAAGCAAGGAATAATTGGGATGAACAAAAAAAGGATGCTAATCGTGTTTTGTACTATCAGGACCTCTTGACCAAGAAGACCGACACTTATAAGAAGTCTGCAGAGAAAGTGGCTAGGATCAAGAAGGAGGCGAGCAAGAAAAACGGCACCGCTTTTGTGATCACCTCCACAAGCGACTGCGATGTCATCGCTACACGAGAATCCCAAACAGCTTGAGAAGCGCCTGGAGGCCAGACGAGCGCGACGTCGACACGCAAAGATTCTACATAAACCAGGATCACGTGGTGGCCACCACCTCTAAGGCCAAGAAGTTCGCCCGTCCACAGAAGTTCCCCGCCCAAGAGGAGGCAGCCTGTGCTGGCAACTAAGACGTCTTGGTGTCCGACAAGAGAGGACGAAGGAACCCGAAAACATTTCCTCTAGAAAATGTTGAAATCTTGCCAATATTTTGGTTTTGGTGACTCCTGTGAGTCAGTGCACCGCACAAAATAACAGTTCTTGTTCTTTTTTTGAAACTTAAAAAAATTAGAAAAAAATTGCAGAGTTTACAGAGAATACTTCTTCCAAAAAATGTTGAAATCTTGGCAACATTTTAGTGTTGGTGACTCCTGTGAGTCAGTGCACTGCACAAAAGAACAGTTGCTCTTTTTTTGAAACTTAGAAAAAAATCACAAAAAAAACTTCTCAGAGTTTACAGAGAACACTTCTTCGAAAATATGTTGAAATCTTGCCAATATTTTGGTGTTGGTGACTCCTGTGAGTCAGTGAACTGCACAAAATAACAGTTCTTGTTCTTTTTTTGAAACTTAAAAATCAGAAAAAAATGTTCATGCTCAGAAACCGTTGTCCAGTGGACATAATGTTTACAGCTAGACCGTGCAGTACTAGTACAGTTCCCTGTCTTTGTTTTTTTTTACAGTGCCCTGTTGGCAATATTTACCACTTTCTTGACAGTGCCCTGTTGGTGTTACCTACCACCAGTTGTATAATTGTTAAATAAAGTTGATTTTCCCTGTTTTTCACTTCTCGTGTGTGATGATTTTTCAACTCCTACCTCCTTCATCAGGTTTGTTATGTTTGTAAATATTTTCAGCCTTACAAGACCTGTGTATTTAGCCAGGGTGCAATAGTTGAGGGACTTGAGGGTCTTCAATGGGAGGGGGGGTACTTCCCTACCTAAATTGATATGACACACATTATCCCAAACAATCACTTTTAAAGATGCCACACAACTTTAATAGTTTATCCCAAACTAAGATAATATAAAGGTGTTAACATATAAGTTAGATAACATATACTTATAAAGGAACAAATCTGCAGAAAGCTCAACTTCAAAGTTTTTGGGGTACCTTCCGTGTTTTTAAGGCAGACACAAACCTTTATATGAGGTACAAAATAATTTTCAGAAAATATATTCTTGCGAATCTTATTTGGTACATGTACAGACTGTACATCTATTTCCTAAACAATGTCTATAGAGTTCTGCATACAAAGTATCTGAAACAGCCATATAAAATGTATGTACATATCTGGGTTTACACCACTATTTCAACCAGTGACACCTTGCATTAGCAGCCATCTATGCAGGCACTGAAGTATCACTTTCATCAATGTTTCTTAAAATCTACAGTTCCATGATATGATAGCACATTACAGATTAAGGCATGTATGTGGTCCACACAAACTTGACAGCCCAAATAAAAATCATACACAAATTCACAATACATGCACATATAATAAACTTTACACTGAAAAACAGTGCACAGCACAGTGCATCATCATTTAAAGTTAATAATATCAAAATTAAAAAATAAAGATGCAGAGAATATCTTACTAAAAGGATACCCTAAAGCTCCCAGCATGTTCTTGCTGCTGCAAGTAGTTACCGTATCAGTGCTACCAATGTATGTCAAAATATGGACAGTATATCAAAGTTCTCGTCTACTCCAGGCCCAAACTTTATAATTGGATATGTAGTCCAGCACAGCACAATTGTTTAAGCAATGCTTAGAACATAACAATACAATGCAGGTAATTAGTTGTTCTTAATCTCCAATATGTGGACTTATTTTCTATAAATCAGCCAATTCCAAATTAGCCACCAAGAACTTGGAGGACTCAACAGAAGGTACATTCATAATGCGCACCAGAGAAACTAGTGATGCCATTAGCAACGACGGACCACCATTGGGGATATCTTCATACCTGGCCCTTTTTGACTTGCCTGAAGATGTTCTCTATGCAGGATTTCTGTCTGAACAGTGCGTTGATGACAGGTGCAACCATGGGGCCTTGCACAGGTAGCTCAGGATGGACAGCACAGAGTGGAATGTCTGGTACTCAGTGTCCTCTCCTAAAAAAGAAACCATCCAGATCTCCATGACATGTTCCTTGTTAGCAAGAGTAACATTATGTATTTGAAAATGCAGCTACACTACCAAAATCACAGCTTGAGAGTCTAAGGCATAAGTTAAAAAGCATGGGCACACAGTAGAGGGGGGGACCATACTCTTTAGCCTTTACATGGCAAAGCCAAAAAAAGTTATAGAGAAACACTAACATTATTCCTGACATACCAACTTTGAACCTGATTCTCTGGCAGACCTCAGTCAGGATGATGAGGTCCAGGATGAGCGGGCTGGCCAGCAGGGAGTCCTCACACGTGTTGTGCACCACGATGGTGTTGTGACCGCCCATCATGATCTCAGACGTGTACTCATCCATCGCACGTTTACTGTCACCCACGTACGGCACGTACTTGATGACGACGCAGTGGTCAGGCTTCTTGCCGTCGCTGAACAAGATGTCATTAGATTCCACCATGTCATCCACTACATTGCTCTTGGAGATCTCCTTGGACCTGAACTGCTTTGGCGCAGACAAGTTCTTCCCATCGTTGTTGCCGAGGTGGTTGTAGCTGACGATCGACACGGGCTGTACAATTTTAGGAAAACGTGTGTGCAATAAATATCATGCAGTATCAAAGAAAACATGTTTCTCTAGGTGACATGTGTGAACGGCACATCTAATGTGAAAAATGCTACCAATGTCTTAAAAAAGATTTTATCTAACCCCTAGCAGAAACTTCTTTTATTGTACTTAATGAAAGGTTAATGCTTATAAGCAATTACAATAATGATTGTACATGTATTTGAATTGTCATTCACATACTAGTTATAGTGCTATTCACTGCACAGGAAATGTGCAATGCCAGGCAACAAAACTTAATGGAGGAAATGAATACTAAATCAACAACACATTTTTTAAGAAACTCACCTTGATGCCTGCGTTCACCAAGAAGTCCACCAGGACTGACTTGATCTTGGTCTGTCCTGACTTGAAGTCGTCTCCTCCAATGAAGACACCGTGCTGTTCTGCCAGCTCAAGCACTCCTGGCACAAACGTGTTTTGTGGGGATCCGTTGATGTAGGCACTCTGGAATGGGCACAATGAACTTGCTGTCAGTGAAAGTAAATCTATAAACTCACTAGGAACTAGACAGCACTAGGAAGGTACAGATCTCTGGCAAAGAGCATGTCTTTTCCCTTCATCTCTATCTCTACTTGTGCTTAAAGCTGCAAGGACTGTCCTCAAATTATCCTGGATCTGGATCTTTCCAAAATCATGCTAAAGCAATCCTACACACACAAAAAAATGTAGTCCTTATTTCTTATCCTGTGCATTTAACAGCATTCTACCAGTAATTGCTGACAAAATCATAACCTTGGTAGAGATGATTACAGATTTTACAGCATGAAAAAAAAAAAGAAACGGTTAGTCCCTAATCCCTTGTCCCTCTCTTATGTTGGCTTAGTGATTAATAATGGAAGACTTCTTCTGCAGAAGGTGAGTACTATACAAACCTAACAGCCTACAGATATGTTTACTACAAGGATCTCACAATACCTAAGAATTAGTTTTCTCCAACAAAGGGCTCGAATCACTTCAAATTTTGGTTTTCCTAGGGAAAGACAAAATGGGGAAAGCAGGTAGCAGTTTAGAGTAAGTCACATCCCTCAATTTAGGTCTTGTGACCAAGGTCAATCAAACCATTTCTGATTCTTTTTTTTGGCATTGACACCCTAGGAAAACCCTGGCCTTCTTATTGGTTTGGATCAACCACAACCATTTTGATTGTTAAGAGACAACCAGCCTCAGAACTAGACTCATTCTGAGGACCTGCTTGTCCACAACAACCAGCTGTATTACCAATTCGAGCCCTAAAAGAAGAGGATCCTTGCGCCACAGGCGTTCCATGCTCCATTTTAATCGACCAAAGTTTTGTACAAACTTTGGCTTTAATCGACAGGGCCTGCACAAGAAGAGAAACAGGCTAATTCATGATGCATCAACACACGACTTTACACGAGTTATACACGACTTCTACAGAGTGATGCACTTAGTAGTCTACAATCATGCATTTTTTTGGCCTAGTATGTATATATAGCTGTCACTCACACTCATAAGAAAGTGAGTAACTGACTAAAACCATTCAACTTACTCTGAATACTGAGAAAAAAGAAATCCAACAGGGGGACAAAGGGAAATGAAGAGATATTGGTTCAGCAAGTAAATAAGAGATAAAAGGACGGACTACTACTAGTAGTAGACAATAAAGTAGCAAAAGTACAAATATCGCTAAAAGATACAGAGAAGGCAAGTAGACAACAAAGATCCTTCCTCAGATCTACCTAAGCATTCCAACACCAACAACTTGCACAGTTCAAGACAGTGGAGTTCCACTCACCCCTTCCAGAATACTGGCTACTGCAAAGAGCGTGGAGGGTGACACTTCGCAGGCGTTCTTCTCAATGGCGCTCAGCAGTGTAGCAGCCGTGTCGTTCAGCCCAGTCAGGACATCGCTGAAACGTTCAGTGTTCGCTGTCCACAGGACAATCACCTGGGAAAAGGTATGTGACGTAGTTTAGAAAAAAGGATGTATTACCTAGCTAACTCACTCTTCTATCTTCAAAATAGGATAGACCATTCCCACTTGCAAAAAACTGGAAGGGAATAATACCAATATCAAAATCTAAAAACTGGTCAGTGCAACATCTAAAAGGAGTAGGTATGTAACTTCTTACATGCTTAAGACCACTTCTTGATGCCAATGCTATACATGGCTGTGCCTGTAGTCACATACTGAGTTATTCCTACCTTGTCCAGGTTGTTCTTGGTCTTGAAGTCCCGGATGTCCCTCCGGATCTGATCCACCTGCTCCATCTTGGTGCCCTTGATGAGGTTGTCGGCTCGGGACTCCTGATTGGCTGCAATGAAGTCGGGGACATAGATGGAGGGGCGGGGCTTCAGGTGTTCCATGTGCGGGCGGAGCTGGCGCTGAAGGTCGTAGTCCAGGACCTTGGCACGCTCCATCGCGTCGGCCAGATTCATGGCAGAGATGTCCCAGCCATCCAGCACGATGTCATTGGGGTGGACCATTGGCAGGAGGTCCTGGGGGAATGGGAGATAAAGTTTTTAGAAGTCATCCATACCATACCCTTCCTTACCATACAAACACATGTGCACACTATGCCCATTAATAGTCATTGTTAATAGCCTTCACTTTTTTTTACACTCTAGATTTTGGGGCCAAACCTCTGGGTTTCTGGCCTGCCCTGCATGTTCATTTTTCATTGATATTACTGCATGATTTTTTTCTTTTTTTGTGCAAATAAATATAACAGTTATAATTAGCAATAAAAATTTGGTATTTCATCAGGACAGAACACCTGAGAACACATGGGCATGTAACAGATTTCAGAAAAAAATGATCTGTTATCTATTACCTTATTGATTTTTTTGATCAGCAAATAAATACAGTGCCTATCATAAACAATAAAAATTTGGTATTTCATATAAGACAGAACACCCGAGAACGCTAAGCTGTACCTTGAGTGGGATGTAGACGTCCCCGTCAGGCCCGGAGCCCAGCAGGACAGTGGAGGCCTGGGTGACGGAGCCGAAGTAGTTGGACTCCTGCAGGCCGTCCTTGGTGTGCCAGGTCAGGCCCAGCTTGTTGGCCAGGATGGCGGCGGTGACCGTGGACCCGTTGTTCCCGCCCCATCCCACCAGCATGCAGCCCAGCCTGGGCACGCCAAGCTCCGTCTGGAAGTCTATAGCGGTCTCCACGGGAACCACCTGTTCACAACCAATCAGAACTGCCCTCAGCACACACACTTAAAAACTTAACGTTAGAACAACAAATAGCAATTAACTAAAACAATTAAATCATGAAATAAAATTTGTAAAAGCATGCAGTATTTTGCATAAAAAGTACTTTATGTGACTTTAACCAGTTGTAACAGTATCTTTTCCTACTACAGCACTCCTAGAATGTAAATCATGATGGCATACAGCGTCGAAATGCCCGTCCTGATCCAGTATATATGTTAACTCTGTGACAGGACTGGTTGATCCTGACTGCACTAACGTTACATGTAACTTTACGCCTTGGGCCAAATGATAATGACAAAGAACGTCTCTTCATTGGAGACACACAAATCATGTAAATGAGTGAGAAACCTGTTGAACACGTCTCCCATACTGTGCCCCAAGGGCAACATGCATACGAAGAAATGCTTGTTTGCGGGTCTAGTCCACTTTTTGATAGGCAAAGGAGGGTGACAGTTAGAATACCAAATGATACGGGGACTCTAGCATAGGCATATTAAGTAGCATATTTCGCCAACATATATACTATAATTAACTTAACATTTTAACTTATTAGTGTCGATATCTTAATGATATTTTATATGGGAAACAAATTATGCGATAAATAGTGCTTTTGCTATTAACGCCCCCATATAATAATGGTATCAACCAGACGAGGGATGCCCCAGGCCCCAGGAAACCCTGACCCACTGCGCGTGCGTGCTTTCGCCGCACCTTCTTCTAGAGCATTCCCCGGAGCCGGTGCTTTGGCGCTTTCCAAGTTGTCCCCATAAGGTGGCCCCAACAATGGTGGATTCATACCTTTGTTATTAAATATACATAGGTATATATCAGACAAGCATAGATAAGTCAGGATTTCGCGTTCATCAAGCTGCCGTCACGCTGCAAGAAAAAGTCTGCGATCTCCAAAGTATTGTAAAGGACATTTTCGGCAGCAACACAGGTGTTACCGGGCCGGTGTTCCCACGACCACGGCTCGATCATGTAGGGAGCGGCGGGCATTCGCAGGTCACTGGGCCCCCTCCCAGTTTGATAAGGTGGATTCTCTAGCTATTTTGAAATTCGGCAACTTTCCGGCGATCACCAAATCGGCCGAAGATCGTTCACGCAATGTGATACCCGCTGTAGAGGTACGATTTTTGGGAGCTACCATGCACACATTGTCAGGAAAGCGGGAACTATCTTAATGAAAACCCTGGAGGCAAAGGAAGACAGTCGGTAATCCCAGTTACCTTGCGAGTGCCGTTTGCTCCCTGGGTGACCCTGGTTGTCTGGTACCGGTACTTGCTCTCGATGTGACTGTCGGTGTAGCGAACGTTAGGACTCTCCACAGTAAAGGCCGCCATGATGACTCGGTCAGGTGCGTAGTTGTATTCGCGTTTGTTTACTGCAAAGAAAGTGAGAAGACGGTCAAGTCAAGAGATACAACAAGGGTAGAACATGTCCTTCTCCGCTGTCGCGCACAACCAAATGAGTTCGAAACAGTCATTAAAAACGCTCATTCCATCCGATATAAAGCCGCCGGTAATATTGGGCTAGATGACTAGAATTTTCGGCAACTTCGCCTAGCGCATGGATGTCGCCCTTTCCGAGTAGCCCGCGCTTCAGAAGTCGTTCCCACCAACCGGCAGGCGCAAAGAGACCCAAGGAGTTCGACAAAGACTGACATCGAGCCTATTCAAGATAAAAGTAGCCTGAGTCCCCCAATAAATCATTTGAAAGAGCAAGGAGCTCTTTGAACAGACAGACATGACAGAGAGAAAATGAAATTACCGGGATCGAAAAGCGTAGTGCGACTGTGCGGGTGTAGAATACCTTCTTATTTAAGCCGCAGGCTTTATATAGCGTTGGAGGTTTCTACCTGATGATGTAGTGGAAAAAACCCAGACGCGAATAGATAATAGGCGAGCCATCCAGAAACGGTCGGACGAGCACGTGAACAGGGTACTGAACACGCGTGAACAGGTAACTTGTGGCCAATCACAAAAAGACTTTCTTATGGTTCGAGGGTATATCATGGCGTTGTCTGATTGGCTACCTAAAACTATCATTGTCGAATAACGCACTGGGAGTTGTCATTTCCAATCACACAGGAATGTTCACTCAAGAATGCATTCTGAATTCGTTTGTAAATGTTGATCAATATTGCATGATTAAATAGTTGTGTGTGCGTGTGTGTGTGTATCGAATATTTCATAACTACCTGTTATACATATCCGTGGCTGTTGGAACTCACTAATATTTGCCCTTGGTCGGGCTTCCGTACTTCATGTCAGCCATTGCAAGACCTTAAGGCACCCTTCCTGTCCGACGGATACGGCCGAGTGATTTATAGTACTTGGGCTTTCAGGGATTATACGCTAATAGATAATATCACGCGATCCAGTCTCAGGCTGTTGTTAGACGCCAGCGCCCGCAAACACGCCCGTCTTAAAAATGATCTTATCTACTCATCCTTATTCCAACCTCCATTACCCCCAACCCCCACCTGTGAGTAGGCCCATTATTGTCTATGCCGCGTACACGGTAAACTTGCATTGTGTAACACTGAGGAGCTTTTTATTTCTCCTCCTTCGAGTCCTTAATCATACAAGTACTAGGACAGTTGGGAGGCTAGTCGGTGTACGGCACTACAAACTGCGTCCCCAGTGGGGCCAGGGATACTAACCTGGATTCCACACCTATTTTAAATAACTCCGAGCCCTACAACCAGGCTACAGTACAGCCTACAGCCTTACAGGGATCCTAGTCCGGTCTAGTGACCCTTGAGTGAGCGCGACCCTACATTATCATGCGGCAAAGTATAAACGTGCTTGTTTTGGATAACTGTGCATATATCGCCCACATTCATGTCAGCTTTCCGTGTTTCCAATGTCGTATATTAGAAATGTACAACGAGGTGCAGATATTCAAGGCCAAAATGTCCTTGCAATTGCCCCATACATATCTAATTAATCGCCCGGAACGGAATTTTCCCACACCTGGTGAGTGGTGCCCTGCCCCATACAGACATGTACCCGACATGATAAGTCTAGTAGTCGTAACAGACTGGAAAGTTCCACAGCCCCAGGCTGCACTATCCAGTATAATTACTGGTTTACCTGATTACTAGTACAATGTAATTTCAGTTGAGTAAGAAAAAAAGAAAAGCTAAGCTGTAAAGTCACTTATGTACTTGGCATAGTCTGCTTTTAATCTTTTGTTGTTATTGAGTAATTGCATACAATTACAATCAACACTTGGACGCTGTGATTCATCTCCATGTTTGTTACAAGATGATATCTATTCTTGTGTCAGTCCAACCTGTGGTTATGAACTTTCGAACGACTAAGGAACGATGGGATGTCATATCGCGAATCGCCTGGCAGGTTTAGCCTCTTGCCAACGTCGCTTTATTTAATAGCTGGCTAAGTTACGCGGCTGGACAATGCGGGTACGTCACATGTATCGATGCATTAGCCGTGGGGCGGCGAACTGTTCTCTCAACGGCCATACTCCCTTGGCATGCTTATCTCTCTATTTTGGCCGATTTCTACTCTTTCCAGCCGCCTCCTCAAGCCTGGTAGAGGCTATCGATGCATGACCCTTGCTGTATCCAGTCGTAACCTTGGGACATCTAGCGACTCTGGTAGGAATGACAAAATAGACGTGCTCTCACGCACCTCCAAACGATATACATGTATTATAAAGTAGACATCAAGGACGTTTCAATTTATAAAGATACAAAGTGAAGAATGTTGGGATCACACTTAGAACTTCCAAACAGACAACAACCGCCGCTAGCTCCCATGGGCGTATATGTCTGAAGTGGTCTTGAAAGTGGCGGTGCCGCAGTCACCGGTGTCACATGTCAGTTTCCCCGTCAAAGTGGGTCACCCTTCGTGACCCCTGACACAAGAAACCGAAAATATACAGACATGTCACGGACATGGCACAAGGCTCAAAATGTACGTTTCCCTGTATTTTTTTCAAGGTAACACAGTGTCGGAACTGATCATACTGAAAACAGAAGATACAATCATAAAGTGTTTTAATTTTGGCATTAATTGACATCTCAGAGTACTGATTATTTTACTAGTACTATTTTGTAGTTGACAGAATTTAATGAATTGTCTAAAAATTCAACAAATAAATAAATCTATAACAGTGTCATAGTTGGTCAATGTGAGATGAAGGAATTCATTGTTGATCATCTTCATCTACAGAGTTCATCTTGTCCGCGATCGATGGCGACAACAAGTTATTATTATGGATAACGTCACGCACATGATTGCATCACTCAGATCTAAGTAAAACTGTTCGCGTAATGTTTATATTTAGACGCAGTAAATTATGCTGCTGGTAGTTTCTATCGACCAGTCTTTGTTAAAAGACGTGGACTAGAGGTTCATTTTACAACATCCGGGTACGCGGGTACAGGCACACTTCCTAATATATTAATTAGGTTCATTTATTTCGGCCCGCGGTGATATTGTTCTTTCTATCCCCCTTTAACTTAACAGTTATAGGGAAAAAATCCCTACCTTTACCATTCCTGTATATATATATCCCTCCGTAGCAGTTGACACAGCCTTTTGTCTCCTACCTTTTCATTGATGAAATTCCATCCAACTTCAACTCCGCATATGTGCCGGTTCAATGACCGCTCGATCGCCCCTCCCCAAATTAACCCCTTATAATTACAACCTCAGGGTGTGCTTTTGTCGGTCACATGTAGCCTGGGTCTAACACATTATTATGGACTGAAATGTATTGTTCCGCATACGAAATCTGAATGCAGATACTCACAATGCTCCTTACCTGTAGAGTAGCAGCGTTGGAGTAACAGCGCTCTACCGCAGCGGTACACGTAACGCTGTCTGACCGGTCCGCGTCTGCCGGGTCACGATCACCTGATCGCACCACCATGCACGCCACATGCAGATTCACCGCGCAATGCACCACGGGATCGCGCATTTCCTTGTGGAAGATTTCATTGCAGGGGAGTCCTAGTCTCCAAGCAGAAATCTGAAATGTTCGGGGCGGTTTTAATATAGGGGGGGTCTCTTTGTCAGCTTTTCTATGGGTAAACTGGCCTTTCCTTGTCCTTGTCATAACACCTTGGTAATATGATCATGTATACATTGTACCAGCTACAGTTGTTGAGCAATAAAGTTGATTGATTGATTGATTGATTGTATATCGTTCTCTTTCACAGCAATGGAAAAGCATGTAACGTTACCTGTTCTTTACGAAAGAATTGTAGCAAGCCGTCGTGATTTTGTAATGTGTAGGATACATCATTTCTACCTCCATGGATATATCAAGGAGGTTGGACATATTCATTGTGTTTTGGGGTGGATATCCTGATTTTTAAGTATGGAATTCTATGATTAAGTTAATGACGTTGCATTACTTCAGCATTTATTATGTCGAGTTATACTGACTTTTACTAAGTACACAATGAAGGCCTGAACATCATGACTCACCCGGCTTTTGAACATGTGGACCGGCAAATGTTGTCCGCGGTTACTTTCAGGGAGTGACAGAGAAACATTTTTGTCCAGAACTTCTACTTGGGACTGAGGGCGGACAAGTAGATTAACAAAACGTTATAGGGATGCAAAACTTTGAGTTTGTTCTGAGCTGCATCCATCCTCTTCTGATTTTGATGGATATTGATGGTCATACAATGTATATTGATTCAAGGATCGTGCTGTTGCAGTTCATTGAGTAGTTGCTAGACGTCGCCCTTTCCTGTGCTCCAAACCGAGGCCAGGTTGACCCCTGTGATGTCAGCAGGAAACTTACGTGGAGTTAGTCGGATTCCGAAATCGCGATCTGAGTCATTGATTCAACAAACTAACATCTGGAAGACGATAAAGGTCGGCATAATCGAAAAACAGGTACGCCACACATCTCAGGTTAGTACTGTGGTGTTTTGTGTGTCTGGGAATGGCTCCAACTCACGTAAAACGTATCTGCGGTACTGAGAACGGCGAGTTTTCCGTTTGCCGGGGGAGGGGGGCACATGTCAAAAATAGTTCATATCTACTTCTTCCTGCCGAAATTATGTAAACAGAAGTGCAGTAGATAAAAGGATGCTGCCAAACGTATGCCAAGATTAACTCCGAACTTTATAGAAAATGTTTCGTTTAATGGAAGCTAAATCTGGGCCCATGGTCCTCAAAATAATTTACTGCACACACATGTTATACTTGTACAAAAATAGCATAGAGTGCCCTAGTGTAGCAAAACGATATTTTAAATTTGAAAGGAAGTCTAATTTCAGAAAATTTGGGGTTTTAAACCATAGCTGTATATCCTCCACGTAAGGCATGTGTTCCCTGGCAGTGCACACAAGACTAGTGCTGCTCACTATTGATAATAAGTAATATGCTGACAATTTCTTTGTGTCTTTGATTTCAGCACCACAAGATATAACACTCAAAGCTGCTTCACAGCCGAGAAGTGTTCCTCTCCATCCTGACATCCAGATCCTGTCATCATGAAGCTGTATTCCCTGTCAGTCCTGTATAAAAGGGAGAGTAAAGTCCACCTCCTGATGGGAGGATACGACCTGCAGTCATTCGGGTACTTCCAGAGAGGAAGGTATGATGGGCAGTTTAACTCATGCCTTACTTTTTCAACATGATTGATTATGTCTCCGTCTCACATAACCAATAGAGAAACAGATGGTGTGATGCACTAGTTCTGTACTGTTGGTAAATATCCATAAGTCATGTATGGGATGGTCACTGTGTACATGTAACTGTACCATGCAATTTATGAAAGTCATTGAGCAACCTGTCAAATGTTAGGTGCTCGGTAGCCACAGCCTCTAGTGGAAAAGGGATGAAAACATCCCCAAACATCCCCACATAAAAACATCCCCACATAAAAGCTGCACAAGTGACATACAAATCAAATTTCAGAAAGAAAGAGACAGTGAACTGAACATGAGATATACGTACTAAACCACTAATGCTATTTATAATCCAACTTGCTTTGATAAGTTTTTCTTACTTGTGTTTTTTTTTGTGTTTTTTTTTAGTGTGAAAGAGTTCATGGTGTTCACCAGTCAGATCATAGTGGAGCGCTGTAGGGAAGGAAGCAGGTCAACCGTCAAAGAACAAGGTAAGTAATCCCAGGGTAAATCAACAGTCAAGGAACTAACATGGTAGACAAAGTGCTTCCATCAATCCCTTCTGAAGAAGATGTGTCAGCCAACAGATGAACAGGTCATGTTTTACAATGTACCGGTGGAACCGGAATGGGGTGACTGCTGACTGTGTTGAATAATTATTATATGTGACGTCTATAGACACAATTCTTAATGCTTACGTCAATGGGAAAAATTCAAGGGACCAGCAAAAACTGACCGCTATGGCCGGGTGACCACTATACAAAGTTGACCGCTAGTACAGGTTTGACTGTATTTGTTTTTAGACTGAAACTTGCAAAACTGTAGGACTTCTGATGGAGGGTGTTAGGATTTCGATTAAAAATGTGTGCACAATGATAGGTAAGATAAACTACAAACAATGAATTCATGCCAGTGAATTCAACATCCTTGGATAAACTTATATGAAAATTAATTATGAGTTATTGTTTTAACTTTGTGTGCCACCCCAGAGTACATGTGTCACTGTTACATCAGAACTGACGGCCTGGGAGGAGTGTTGATAGCTGACCATGAGTACCCACAGAGAGTAGCCTTCACACTGCTGAATAAGGTAACAAACTCTCTACTGATCTTTAACATGTAAAAACATTTGTGTCTGTATACCTGGTATAACCACCCTTCGGTGTAACATACCATCTGATTGTCAGGAGTTTAGGTGACAGTTCTAGTTGCTATTCATAGTTGTCCTTTGATATCAATGATATCACAGATATAAATTGAATTTTCTATGTCATGTGAAGAAAGTTATCCCAAATTGTTGGGGTATTTTATGTTTTCAATCACATGTGTACAGTACACCATGCCCCCTCCCTTCCCTGTCTCCAGGTTCTAGATGACTTTACACAGAAGGTCCCAGCTCACCTCTGGCCTGATGGAAACCAAAAGTAAGTCACACGTCTGAGTCCCTCAGTCATTGATTCTTATTCAAGATGCTTTAATTTAGTCAAAAGCAATAGTTTTACTTAGTAATACATGAGATGTACTTAGTCTTTTACATGTAGTTGTCATTGGAAATGTCTCATCAGGAACTACAAAACTTGTGTTGTCTTCATTTTCCAGCACAATAAACTACACAGAACTAGACGGCTTTTTGGCGAAATATCAGGTATGAACACTTATTCTGTATTACCAAATATGTCTCATACACAATAACAGCATCTGAATGGTAACGGGGGGTGCCCTAATTCCGACCCATCCCTAATACCGAACTAGTTTGAAAAATCCTTGTTGCGGCGTTATGCATGGGAGCACGTGCCTAAAAATAATCACAAGAATGGACAATGTTTTTGTGTTGATATCGGTAATCTCACAAAGTTTGTTTTAGTTCCTACACTCCGACAACAGACGAGTGAAAAATCTGTGTGAATTCGACGCTTGTTCGGGGGTTGACGAGCGTGTCAAAAATGCAGGTTTTGCTTTTCAAACAGCCACTTTGGAGCAAGTCGCGTAATCGTAAAAAGAGGACTTGTTTGGGACAGAAAACAGTTGTAGATTGTTTTAGTCATAATTTGTGTATTATAATTTCTAAACTCTCTTCTCAGATCGACCTGTGTTAAACACTAGGTCGGAATTAGGGCACCCCTGTTGTGATAGAACGTTCCACCGGCAAAATGACAAAAAAACTGCCGTGCGTTTCGTGAACCATTACGCTTGGGTGCAAGGCGCTACACTCAAGTGAAATGCACAGCTGTGCAGCTTTAATCGTTGTGATCTTTATCTGTCAATATTATATCTCATGTTGCGTGAGTTTTCGGTCAGATAAACTATTACCAAAGGTCTGTGCGTTTGCATGGAACATAGGTCGGAATTAGGGCACCCCCCGTTATACATAACTCGGTGTAAAATAATGAAATTTGTGCTTTCAGTGTAACATCATATGGTAAGCGCACTTCAAGTAGCCTTACAACACCCTAAGTTTAAGATGATACATTCTATTGTTTGTTCTGTAGAATCCCAGAGAAGCAGACTCCATGATGAAGATTCAAAGTGAACTGGACGAGACAAAAATCATCTTGGTAAGGAAGATTGAGTTACATTTTATAAGTATTATTGTGTATTTCTATGCTGTTTTTCACATTGAGCAATTACAAAATGTTTTTGACTTTCTGTGGTTTTCCTTGTAGTTTGTCCAAAAGGATGAAAAAATATATTTTAATATGTTTTTCTTTCTCTATCACTATTGTGCAGCACAAGTCCATAGAAGCTGTGTTGGAGAGAGGAGAAAAGTTGGATGACCTGGTGGCCAAGTCAGAGGATCTTAGTGTACAGTCCAAGACCTTCTACAAAACTGTAAGTCCTTGTCATGTCACAGCCATCCCTGCTGAAGGATAAAATACCTTCACCAATTAGTACAAAAATGATATATTGCAGATTTCCTGCAGGATTCCATTCTTTTATTTTTGCTTGAGCTGACTTTCTAACATTGCTTGTATATAATTGAGTTCATAAATCCACAACAAAGTCTGTGTTTGTCAACAATGTTAAAACTGACAATGCAAAGCATATGTATTTCTCTACATTTGTAAGTTTTGACTTTTAACAACCTCTTTTTTTTCATTTTCAAATGTGAAGGCTTTAGCCAGCTTTTTAATAGCTCTTTCTGTATCCATTTCAGGCCAAGAAGCAGACCAGTGCTGTGTGATCCTGTAGGTCAGGTGTGGGGAATATTTCAGCTTGCTAGCAGACACATTTTTCAAACAGTATGCATCTGTTTAATACTTTAGGCACTTACTCACAAAGGCAGACAAAAGAAAGGTCTAAGTATTTCTTGTCACACAGACAAACCTGGAAAGTTTGTTGCACAGAAAATGCGTCTTGTGTTGTGCAACTGGACAGACACAACTGCCATATGCTTTTTAATTGTAAGAACTGGCCCCCTTGCCATAGTGGTAAATTTGTGTGCTTCACTTTGTAGTATTGTGAGCGCCATGAGCAGGTCTAATCGAATCTTTTGTGACTCTAAACAGTACATGTAATTTTATCTTAAAATGGTCAGAAAGTGTCCAGTATAAGTTGTTCAGCTCTGTTGACAAGTTGACATGAATGTTGTATTTGAGGGGTGGTGCAGCACTATAATAACCATTAATGTACATTTGTGAAAAGAGAGAAAATGATACATTATGTATGAATATCAGAGGCAGACAGTAAATGTGTGGTGGCTCTTTGTGTATTGATGCCCTGGAACCACATCATTGAAGCCAAAAATATCTACATAGTACAAATGTTGTTAAGGATTGTTAGCTTCTCCACGCACAAAAGTTGTATTTGTTGTAGCACATTTTAGCAAGTAGAGGGTTAACATGTCAAGTACTGAATAGTGCAACCTTTGTGATCTTTGTAACACCATCTTGTATTTTCAAGTCATGAAATATGTAGACTTAGATGCACAACTACAGATATGATTAATACTCCCTCACCATCAAAATTACATAATTGAGAACCATCTTAATGATTTGATGTGCAGACAGCTACATGCTTAATGGGTATCGCAATTGTACCTTCCTGTATAGTCATTATAGTGTCTGTTCCACAGAGCTGTACAGTGATGTTTGAAAGTATGAAGGACATGAATGGTTAGAGGAGGGAGCTGATCATCTGGATTTTGAATGGGTAAATATGGACATAAGTTCTGGTAACTAAACTAAACAATACCAATGAGTTGCAGAATGGGCAGAGAAGAGGAGAGAATGTTTTTAGATTTCCTCAGCCCACATTGCTTTTGTGAAATGTAAAGTACTGCTGTAGTTATGTCTTGTAAAGGAGAATGATGAGTTTTAAAAGTTGGTCAAACATGGTGGCTTGTGACATCGTCTACAGCTCATTTTGCAATGAAGGGCTGATCTTTGGAGGTCAGAGGTTAAGTTGTGTCCCTGATGCCTTTTATAGTGAGCTAGAAATCAGATCACAGGACAAGTGAATATGTTGTAAAGCTACAATATAGTCTAGCTGTGTGACAATTGTACAGTTAAGATATTATTTTTGTGATTATTGTAAACTTCTACTATGTAAAGGTTTGCTCAATGATGGGGGAAAATGGCCAAATTGATAAGTGGGCCATCAAAGTCCTATATGACATCGTGTCCGACCCCATTAATTCTACCACCAATGTTATACTGCAACTATTTATTTTGACAAGATAATGGTGTAATAAGAATATCAACAGTTTGTGACACAAGAGAAGTTAGTCCACTTTTAGAACAGACATAAAAAGGAAGCTCTCGTAACTGTTTAAGAGATTTTTATCAAACACTCAGTCTACCATCTTTTCAATTTTTCACTCAATACAGTTTCTGTACCATCTCTTCCATTTTTACCTGACCTGTTTTTTTACTTAAATCACTTTCCTTGTTCAGAATTTCTGAGGGAAATATATGATCTCTGATGTTCTTGGGAATAGATAGGATGACTTTCAGATGAATGGCTAGTGTTGAAATGGTTTTACTAAAAAAATTACTCCAAAAGTGAACACTACAACCTCTTCCAGTAGTGGACTAGCATTGTGTATGCAATAGCCAGCAAAGTGCCGTTATTTTAGTGTGTCAGTATTTGTATTGGGCTGGAATCACGTCTATTTTCATGGATGGGCCTCGGTCTACTGGGCACCTTCCACTTGTTTGAAGATGAAGCAAATAAATGTTTCTGTATCACTGAGTATGTTACCATGTACGTTTTTCTTTGTTGTGAAGTTTTGAAAATGTTACAGTAACAAATTATATGTAATAAGTCTAAAGATGCTGTACATGTATCAAAGTTTATTTCATTATAAACGTACAAACTGTTTTACTATATGCAGTAGATTGAGGGATGCCAGAAATTTTCCCCCTCCTCTCATGTTAATTTTCATCACACTTCGCACTTACATAAAACATTCATAACTTCTCCCCATGATAGACCATTCCACAGCTCTGTGCCCACCTCCTTCAAAATGCAGAAAACATAAAAATGCAAATATTTGACGGACATTGCCATGGACAGTCAGGATTGGTCAATTGTGAAACGCATCTGCATACAGCCCTACTGTAGCCAGGATTAGATGTTTTTAAACCTAAGGCTGATCAGAGATGTTGGTATTTCCTGGTATGAGTTACAATACCCAGTCACGTGTGTAAACACGGACATGTTTACATGTCTGGATACACAACAGGACTGGTACGGCTGGGTCCCTGACATGTTATTATCCTTCATCTCATCCCAATTTTATGAAATAGGCACTTCCAATGACTTATTTCTATTGACTGAACACTCTATACTTTTACAGACTATATTGCAGCAGAGACAAAGGAAAGGGCGGAAAAGTAAATGTTGATAGTTATGAAATATTCATTATGGATATCAACGACTGTCAATACGATCAGTAAAAATGTCATAAATGTGGTACATTTCCTCGAAATTAACAGAAAATTCAGGAGACAAACAAAACATTAATTCTGTGACTTTTGTTTGAGCAAATATTATACATGTACTAGTCATGATATAATGGTCTGTATTCGTTCAATGAGGGCATCTCTCATGATTTCCCTGCTGTAGTCATCCAGCGATGACATCTGGTCCGTTGGTCGATATTTATAGATATGAACATGAATGTTCATATGATGCCTTCTCCGAGATGATTCACTCCATCCAAGTGCTTAGTCACGTCGCGGAGTATCAACATGCCGTGTCGGCCCCGCGGATTTGCCGGCTCTGTTTGCTGTGTACACACGTCTCCTGTACAGCCCAGTTCTGTCAGGGACAATGCGAAGCTCCAGTTGTTAACTTTTCACATGGGACGTCTCGCAGAAAAGGTCGCCAGACGAGCGGTTATCAGCCGACAAAGACGTGACAGAAATCTGCACAGACGTCTAGGCGCGCTGTGGACGAGTAATACTACAGGTGTTCCCCGTTATAACACGGAATGGTGTCACCTGTGTAACCAAACACCTTGTCGTTGTTTCACCTGAGAGTTCCCGTGCGTGACGTCATCCAGGTACACCCAGGTGAAACAGGTAGTGCCGGGAAACGCCCTGTTTGAAATAGCGATCCTCATGTTTGGTTGTGATCAGTCTTGCACGGGGGTGTCGTCCTGTGCTACTTAATTACCGGTACCTTACCTGTATGGTGAAAACAATACCCGAACCTCTAACCTCTCACCTGCCGACCCCGCCCGCCCGTTTGACGTGTAATTTTATCCGGGCCGTCACGTCGTTACAGTCGTTGGCCCTTCTTTTCACATCAATTTGAACTTTGTGGTCCCTTTGGAAGGAAGTCATTGTGTCTGCGCCGGCTTGATTGTTCACGCGCGTCACCTCACGGGTCAACTGTGCCCAATTGCAAGGCGTGTTTTGAACACGGAGGCCCCTGCCCGCTGCAGTTTCGCAGTCAGAACTGGTTTTTCTAGTCGTTGCCCTCCAATATGTTAATCTCGACTCCGAGCCACGTATCTCCTTTCTCCAAGATGGCAGACGTCGGTGACAACATACCGCCTGAAGAGGCGGACCAGGGGGTTGTTCTGGACGGGGAGGGGAGCGTCGAGACTCCAAGGGACGAGGAAGTTCCCGCGGAAGGCACTGAGCCCCAAACGGGACTGACTGACCCACCCGTTAAGCCACAGGAGGGAGATTTACCAACACCAACAAACGGAGATTCCGTGGGACAGGAGATACCTGTCATACAACTAGAAAACAACGACGCCTCGCAGCAAGTGCCGGCGGAATCAGACAACGACTTGAGTCCCCAGATCAGCAAGGACAAGCCTTCTGACACGGCTATACCACAACTAAACGATCCCAACAGTGAAGAGGCCAGCAATGAGACACAAGTCACAAGCACACCTGTAAACCAGCCCGTGGACTCATCTGCCAAAGGTTTAATAGCCTCCGGTGATTCCAAGCCTGATCAAGCACCACCGGATTCAAACGATACTGCAACTCAAAACACCAAAACGCCAGAAATCTCGACCAGCAACGGACCAGGGCCTGTCACAAGCACTCCTGACTCAGCGAAGACGGCGGCCAGCGCACCTGAGCAGGGGTTTAAAATGCCTTCCACTCCAAAGACAAACGGTCTATCCTCCACTCCAAACCGTTCAGCAGCCCCGAACTTAAAACCCGCCGGCACCCCAACCCACCGCCGTGTGGCTTCTTATTCCGGAGACCCGGCGAAAAGTCTGTCAGCAGCCGCCAGGGAACAGGGCTTCCTCGTCTGTCAGATCTGTTCTCGCCTTTTCACCAAGCCCAAGTTACTAGACTGTCTGCACACATTCTGTCTTCAGTGTCTGAGGAAACAGGTGCCCCAGGGGGCTACGAAATTCGTCTGTCCGACCTGCGACGAGGCCGTGTCCTTGGAAGGGAAGGAGAACGGGGTGGACGACCTCAGGGATGACGTTTTTATGGACGGGTTAGCGGAGGCGTTTAAACACCAACAGGGACTGAAGGAGACCAAGGACATGGCTGCGGATATCATGTCCTCCGTCTGTAACATCTGCCCTGAGAAGACGCCTGCCGCCTCGCACTGCGTCCAGTGCTCGGACTTCCTCTGTCAGGAGTGCTCTCAGATCCACCACCGTACAAAATACACCAAGACACACCGGGTCCTCAGCCTTAAGGACTTCAAGTTCCTCCGTCACGAGGAAAACTACCAGCAGCGAGCTCGGCAGATGGTCGCGTGTCCGAAACACGACGGGGAATATCTCAAGTTCTTCTGCGATAGTTGTCAAATCCCAGTCTGCTTACTGGGGTTGTTTGACGAACACAAAGACCACAAGTACTCCCAAATGAAAGACATCGTTTCCAAGACAAAGATGGTCATAGAGACTTTCCTCCGGTCCACAAACGACCAGATCAGAGCGTTCGAAACCGCCATGAATGTAGTCGCAGAAGTAGAGAAGGACAAGAAGAAGCAGAGGGAAGACGCAGAGAGGGAGATTATGGAGAGGGTGGAACTGTTCACGAAGTCTATACTGGACTACAAGGACGGTCTGCTCAGCGATCTGGACATGATGTTTACCCAGGAGAGGGTAGAACTATCCACTGAGAGGGAGAAGTTAGAATTCCAGGTCGCCAAACTGAGATCGAGCTGCGAGTTCACAGGAAAGCTCCTCAAATATGGGACCCAGGTAAGAAGGGATTTTCCTCTTTGTTTCGCACACGTACGAAAACAACAAATACGGAAAACAGTCACAGGGAAACACTGTGTCCTGTTTTGGTAGAAACCAGGTCACCTGTGAAAATACGGACTACCTGGTTTGAATAGGTACAGCGTTCTTCCCCTTTTCTTATAAGAAAGGTAATTGAGAGAAAAGTAAAATTTTCAGGGAAGGTCCCTCAATTTTTCTCAGAGCACAGGGGATTTGGATATTCATATATATTGCATTTCCTCTCCCATTCGTTATGTGCATACGTATGTGTAATTATGGCGTTCTGCTATTCCTGCCTGATACCTTCGTTGTAAATCACAGAGAAAATCGATTTTTACATAATCCTAAATAATCTGAGATCAAATTGTTCTCTTGTCATGGATTGGGTTAAATAATTGATCAGAACGATCTGCCACCTCATGTGAGCAATCATTGAGGATTTATCGACCCCATCTGGCGGAATGTCAACTGTTGTTAGCCTCTACCAGGCTTCGCAAGCGGCTGCAAAAAAAAGTAGAAATTGGCCAAATACACAGATAACATGCCAGGGTATTTGGCCGCACCCGAAAATGTATTCTGCTAACGCTAATAGTAATATTGGCCACTCTTTCCAACCGCTAACGAAGCCTGGTAGAGACTAACGAAGCCTGGCGGAGGCTAACGTGCTATAACTCTCTCGTATGTGAAACATTTTGTCTCGTTTTTTTTTTTCAGACCGAAGTGGTTGACTATCAGGACCACGTGACCAACCGATTGAACCAGCTGTCGTGTCTCGTTCCCAGGCAGACGGTGGGTGACATCGACGCCATCAGAGCCACCAAACTCAAGTTCATCACCGAGGACGCAGACGTGCAGTATATCGTGCAAAAGGTTTGTCTTTGTTTTTGTTTGATAACTTGATTTGTCAATGATAAGTTTTGTCACAAGGCACCGAGGATTCTTTCTTCTTTACAACATGATACTGATATACTGTTGTGTCCACACACCACAGCTCGGCTACATAGAGAACCAGGCTCCGGACATCCTGAACCTGTCCACGGAGGGCCGGCAGTCCAGCCTGCACGACATCCTGGAGACATCGGACAGTCTGAAGGTCAGCGGCCTGGCGGACGGAGAGGAGGACGAGGGAGTGGACCCAGGGGTGACCGGGAGAGCCAGGCTAATGTTGGAGTTCGGAGGAAAAGGTGAAATAATCCGTTTCTTTTCGGGACACTTTTTTCCGTTTACTTAGTGTTAAAAGTAATGCGGTGCTGAAGAGAAGATCACGATGTAACCATGACAAGAGCATACTAATTTGATAACGTTCCAGTGTGTTGTTTTATTTCATGGATGAATGTTCAACCCTTTTTTGCCACCGCAGGAGATGACGATGGACACTTCATGGCGCCGGCAGGTGTGCAGGTCACTCCTGAAGGGGACTTCGTGGTCGCCGACTCGGACACAAGACGTCTACAGGTCAGAGCTATAATTTGTGACAACAGACAAACAAACAAACAAACAAACAAACAAACAAACAAACAAACAAACAGAACACACACTGATTTGAACAGAGTTTAGGGCATGAACACTGTGTGCACTGATCGACCTTTTAACTTTTGCCCACAACGAAGTATAGGCATAACCTTACCATGTTCTGTGTATGTACTAGGTGTTTGACGGAAGCGGGAAGTTCAAGTACAAGATCAAGACGTCCATGTACCCGCGGAACGTGGCCATCACCCAGGACAACATCTTCATCGTCAGCGGGAACCTGCACGGCGAGGGGAAGGTGCAGATGTTGACTCCGACAGGTGAGGCACTTGAGCTAACATTTATGATGTGCATTTAGTCTAACAAAAGTTAAAAATTCACAACTTTAGTACCAAAATCTCAAGTAACCATACTGTTACATAGGATAATTTATTTCTACTTTTCATGTTACCTTCCCTTCTGTTTATATTATCATTTTTCTGTCTTGATATATATTCATTGATCATAAGCTGTTTTTGTGTGCATATCTTAGCGTCTTGCTCTGTGTTTTAAATTCAAAATTTGTCAAATTGATGTTGCTGAAGTACCTATTCATTCATTTGTCCTCTCGTCCTTTAAGCAATCAATCAATCAATCAATCAATAAGTCAGTCAGTCAGTTAATCAATCCATCAACACATTCATTCATTCATTCCATCAATCCTCAGGAAGCTTCCTTGGCGAGTTTGGCACGACGGGCCAGTTCGAGTACGCGTACGGGCTGGTGGTGGATAAGAACGGGCGGATCGTGGTGACGGACGTCCACAAACACCGCGTCAGTATCCACCTGCCGGACGGGAGACTTATCCACCAGTTCGGAGTGTAGGTTATCGTCATGTTGTCTTGTCGTTTGTTCAGTACAAAAACGGTTGCCTGTGTTAGCCGGGACTGGGGGTTGTCGTTAGGTCAGCAAATATACTAGTTGTTGGGCCTTCTGAAAATATATCAAGATCAATATGTTCAGTATCGTGTATCTCAGATTCATGTTTGTTAAAACTGTGACGAAGCAAGCCTGGTATCATGCACAGTCCTCTCTGGTCAATTCATACCGTATTGTTAATTGAGAAATCTTGTATCTGACCCGCTAGTACATGTACATCTAAATATTTTTTACCCCTTTGCTCTTTTTCTCTCAATGTCACAACATTCTGAAAACAACTAAAACAAAACCCATTCCTTATATACTTTCTATCCAGGTTTGGAAATGAGGACCACCATTTTAACAAACCGTACAACGTGGCCGTTAACGCCAAGAACAACATCCTGGTCTCCGACAAGCACAACCAGTGTGTCAAGATGTTCGACTCACGAGGCACCTTCATCAAAAAGGTGGGTTCAAGTGTGCATAGTGTATGAGAGACCAATTAGATGGGTCACCAATTCCAATTCTGTCATGTAGCATTTCTTTAGCCTGGTTGCCATAGTTCCCCTGTCGATGGCTAACCGACTGTATTAACTATACACAGAGGATATGCAACCAGACTAGCATTTGACGTAAACATGAAGTTATCGTAACTTTGCCAAGGCAAATATTCTTTGGGGATCTTCATATTATCACTTTCTAAGACCAAGTTTGGATTTCTAACATAGGGATAGCTAGGGGGCATGGTGATATAGTTGTAATCACTGTCATTTATCGTCACAGGTGGGGCGAGACGGAACGAAGGACAACAACCTTGTCTTCCCGTACGGGCTCTGTGTGGACGCTACAGACGACATCATCGTGGCCGACAGCACTCCCTACCCCGTCAAACTGTTCGACTGCGACGGGAAGTTCAGGGAGTATCTCATCATCAGCGACGAGCCGCAGCAAGGGCCGAGGGCACTCTGCATTACCCCTGAGGGTCGCCTGGTGGTGTCAGAGCGAGATAAACAAGTCGTGAGGGTTTACAGTCTGTCTTAAGTTGTTGCCACAGTAAACAACAAGGAGAAGTCAGGGACATCTTCCCTCCATGGAGGAGGTTGGTGTTGTAAGGTTTTATTTATGTTATCACCTGTATTCATTGTATATGGAAGGTATGTTCAGATGAAGATGAAGAATGGTTAGAAGAAGGCAGATGGGTTTAAATGTAATTTGACGTTATATGGCCATGAATAATGTGGGAGTTGCTTTGTCTTGGTATAATTTTAATATTAGCATGTAACTACCAACTCAGCTAAATTTCAAGTGAGTTTTATTACTTATAATTATTTAGAGTTGTATGTTCTGATTTGAAAGAAATAACTAAAGAAATGAATGAGCAGCCTGCAATGTGTTTGGTATACTTTATTTTATATATATCATGTCATAGCGAATAGTAATGAAGGAATCTTACTCTGATCTCTTTGTTAACTGAGCAAATTGATGTTACGTGGTCACGAGAGAGAGGGACGACTTCACTCCCAGATATACAACTCAGGACTGGCCCCGACCACGCGGTCGGAGGTAGTTTATTTACATCACTAATTGGTAACAGAGGTTGGGGGAGGGGGGGGGGGGA